AGTCAATTACCAAAATTTGGATGATTTTGAATATTCACTTGAAAAGTTATCAAAGAAAAACATTTTTCATTTTGTAACTTCGAGGGCCCGTAACTTGGTTACGAAGACTTTTAGGAAAAAAAGTTATATGAAGTACTGGTGATATTTTGACCCCATCTATACATTCCCGAGAGGAAAAGAGGAAGTCCAGGGACACCCTGTATATAGTATTGTTAAATTTTTACTGATATATGTATTTCTTTTGAATTCAGTAATATTATACAAAATAGAAAAATATAGTAATACTATCATTATCTTCACCATTCGTGAAGCATGGTGAGATTATTAATAATCACTTGAACAAAAATATTTGTATCAGTCCAGATAATATTCCTGCTATTCGTACCTCGTACGAGTAGCAAAACCTCCAGTAACCATTCAATAGTCCAAACTCAACGTTGTTTGGAAATGACATTCAGTTGATAATCTCACTGGAGATGCTGATAATATGGCAAAGTTACCCCCAGAGCAGTTCAAAGTTTTTGTAATGTTTGTGATGAATTTATCATCACTTTGTTGTTTCAGAATACGATAAGTTGAACGTTTTTGAAGAAAACTAAATAGAACCTACCTCTATCTTGTCCACATTTTGAACTCATATCTCAAGAGGGAGCATCAGATTCCAGATTTCTCTGTCTAGAAAAATACCATTCANCTACTGTAATTCATAATTAGAGTGGGGTTATTTCCTGTCTGAAAAGACGATTTGAAGCTGTTATTTTATTGGTTAGTTAATATAAATATTCTACTCATAAGTTCGTGAGTTATTGTGCTGAATGTAACACTAATTTTGTTATTTTCAAAACAGTGGATCAAAAACAATTTCGTGCTTTGATTTTACAATGCTTCTTGATGAGGAAAAATATCGTTCAAGCAAAGCAATGGCTTGAAAAATGTTATAAGGACTCCGCTCCATCAGGAACGACAATTAAACACCAGAAAACATAAAAAGAATCCACAACATCTTTTTGAATGATCGAAGTGGAGTTGCGTGAATTAGCTGATATTATAAAGATATCAGAAGAACGTGTTAGCTTTATATTGCATGAGCATTTGACTATGAGAAAACTCTGTTCAAAGTGGGTGACGCCCGAGTTCACTGATGACCAAAAACATTAACGTCTTGATGATTTTGAGCAGTGTTTAGCCATGTTTGAACATAAAAATCCGGAATTTTCACTAAGGAATCAAAACGATCGTCATCTGAGAGGAGAGCAACTGGTGAACCTCATCTAAAGTTCCCGAAAGCACACCAAGCGGCTGGAAAGGTCATGGTCTCGGTATTTTGGGATGTGTGTGGTTTAATATTTAGGGACTATCTTGAGAAGGAAGACACCATCGACAGTGAATATGTTATGGCGTTATTGGAGTAATTGAAGGCCGGAATTGCAGAGAAACAATTGCATATGGTAAAGAAAAAAGATTTTGTTTCATCAAGACAACGCACCGTGTCACAAGTCAATCAAAACAATGACGAAACTACGTGAATTGAATTTCGAATTGCTCCCTTATCCACCGTATTCGCCAGATTTGGCTCCTAGCGACTACTTGCTGTTCGCAGACCTCAAAAAAATGGAACCTTTGGTTCCATCAATGAAGAATTCTTGATATGAGTTTCAGTATAGTATACACAGCAAAACATGACGAGGTACTCAACTAGCCCATATATGGATGAATCCGGGGTACTAAAGATCTACCTCATTGACACTATCTGAATGTGGATTTTCGGTGAACGTACAGGCATGTGATACTGATTACGAATTCCAAATAGTTTTTTGAATATCGGGTGGTATCGATGAAACCTTGAGGTGCTTGATACTTTTATGAGATCTCAGGACAGCTTCCAGTTAACTGTTATTGGTTCCATTAGTTACATTTTTTTGTAATAATCTGCACTAAGGATGCAGGTAAAATCAATGAAAAAAAAGTATTTCCATTTTTTTTGTAAATTTCTGACTNTTAAATGGAAAAAACTTTATCTATAGCACTTTTCAAACAAGTCTATGAAACCATGATACTCCCATTGCTTCTAAGCTGATAATCTTCATGATTTTTGTTCATATCAAAAAAATTAAGTATACATATTGCTTTCTCAAATAATAGCGGGTTTATGGACTGAGACTAAGAACTGAGAGTTCGACCCCAAAAAATCAACGAGAGCCTTTATGGAAACTTGTCTAAGCCTAAAAACTAAATCTAACATTCAACTAACAACTGAGAGCTTAGGTCAAAACAGAAATGAACAAGCACCAAATTTAACTATTTACATCAGACATTGACTCTGGAAATTTCAAAACTTTTTTCAAATAGTTTTTTTCACTGGATATCTTATCTTATCACTAGTAGTTGGTTAGGTATCCCAAATTCTTTGAATATTTTTTTGTAAGAGATAGCAGAGTTGATCCCTTTCTATGGAGCAATCTAAGAAAGTATGTTTTCAAGCTTTTTATCTCCTGAAAAAATTATATAATGAAGCAGGCCAATCATAGATACGTTTATTGAGAATGACTTTTGTACTTAACGCAATTCTATGAGATTTTTGCTCTTCGAAAGTGGAATAATTGTGGTTTTTGGGCAAGTCATTAGTGCATATGATTCTTTGTGCAAGAAAGAGATTACCATCTGCTACATTATTTATACTAAATTAGAAATATCAACTCAATTCATATGTAGACAGAAAGTTTTGAATGAAGTTAGCTTAATCTGGAAATTAAATGTTATTGAAATTGAATTCACTCAACAACTGATTTACTAATTGTGAAATCATGAAAGTTGTCATGATTATTGAGATTTTCCAAGATTAGTAAATATTTTTTTTTGGGAATGTTAAGGTGCAGTAATTTACTAGCCAGGTAGAACTAACTTTATTATTTTATTTTTTTCAGATTTCTTGTCATGGAATACCTTGGTTATCATTTTGGATAGCTTTTACTTGGTTATTTGACAACCCCAACTTGATACAGATGCAAGTTAATATGCTTCTTGGTATGTTTTTTTTTTTATTTTAGTGATAGTATGAAAGAAATCCTTCAAAACTTCCCTGAAAATCCTGTTATAGCATGCATCTATTAGATATGATGGAAGGTGATTGAATATAATAAACAATAGAAGGTGTATAGAAAGTATATATGAGTGTATAGTTTTGGTCTACTTATCATTCTATTCTATCATAATATTCTTCCAAACTATAATATAGGTTCTATCGGAAAGAACTCTTTCTACTGCTTTTCTGAAGCTGGCGTTGAACGGTATATCTTTAATACTATTTGAAAGGTGATTGTACGTTTTGCAGCCGTTATATATATAATTGAATTTTTAACGAGAGTGGAAGATGGTTACTTTGACGAGTGGGGTATCTTTTCCCTGTAATGAAATTTTGTTTGTGATTATTTATGAGACACACTGCATGAATCGATAAATTTTAGTTTACAGAGGTATCTCTGGGCTCTATTTTGTAATACAAAAACACTATGAAAAACATTACCATTGCACACTCCCCAGAATGGGATACTGTATCGCAAAAGTGACTATCAAGGAGCAGTATACTGTCTTTGCGGTTGGGTATCCTAGTTCGTTTGCAGCAATTTTCACAGCTTAACAACCAGAGGACAATTTTTGTTCAAGTTTTTGACATGTTCTTTGAATTTGAGACCGTTGTCGATGTTTAGTCATAGACATTTAGAAAAAACGCTGTTTTCAATAATCCGGTAGTTTGAAGAAATATCAGCAACTGCACATTTGAAGGACACTATCTTAGTTTTCAATATGTTGAAGGATAAAAGGTTTGAGACGCACTACTCTGACCTTTATTATATCTGAATTGATGATATGATGAAATCAGCTTTCTTATCATTATGCCATAGTATGGTGGTATCATCGGCGAACAGGGTGACATTTNTTCAGTGATTTCATTAATTTCCTCTTGTCCAGGCTTTCGCAGCTTGGATCATTCTCCGAAACCATTTCAACTGGTAGTAAATCTTTAGAATGACCCTGTCGAGCCGAAATATCATATTTCACTTTTCCGTCAGCACCCAACTGAACAGCCAAGGCATTTGAATCAGAATCTGCTTTTCGACACATATCCAAAGGGAACTGAGCAACATGTATTTCAGGAAAAGGCGCGCCGTTCCCATAGTCAGTACTATTCCTAGGAACCCATCCTTTTCTTTGACCATCAGGAGAAGCGATACTGTGAACACTAGAGTAGTAGCAGGTTTCAATGTAGCCTTTTTTCGACGTTCATCATCATGGTCCCAAATGGGTTAGACTGGAGCTGGCAAAATACTTGAGAGTTCCATGTTCAAAAAAATGATCAGTTCAATAATAAAATACAGCCTCGACCGTTGCACGAAGGTTATCAAGGCTTTGGATTTTAAATTCGACTTGAAGATTGATTCGAAATTCGTACCTCGTACGAGTAGCAAAACCTCCAGCAACCATTCAATAGTCCAAACTCAACGTTGTTTGAAAATGAAATTCAGTTGATTGATGAATGATAATCTCACTGGAGATGCTGATAATATGGCAAAGTTACCCCCAGAGCAGTTCAAAGTTTCTGTAATGTGTGTGATGAATTTATCGTTACTTTGTTGTTTCAGAATACGATAAGTTGAACGTTTTTGAAGAAAACTAAATAGAACCTACCTCTATATTGTCCACATTTTGAACTCATATCTCAAGAGGGAGCATCAGATTCCAGATTTCCCTGTCTAGAAAAATACCATTCATACTCTAGAAATTGGAAGATTTATTTTTATTTTTGAAATGGTTATTAGCCTAGTGTTCTGGGTAGGCTATGGTACTTACTTTTTGAGCTACCTACGGAGTAGGTAGCGGAGTAATATTGAACACTCTAGAATTCGAACTGAGCACATCACCACAGCAATTAATCGCTGAAATTCATTCAATGTTTTCGTGTGAAATAATGGTTCATTTTCAGAAGATTCAATATAAATTCAGTTCAATATATTGGGTGGAAGGAAGTTAGAGGTTCGGAAATATACACACACAGTGCGAATGAAATTTCAAGTAATTGTTTGCCTAAACATGCTTTCTGTTTTGCATGACTCAAATGTGACCTCAAAAGGGATGAAAAATAAATGATACTGTTTCAAACTCGATAGACTTCACTAAAATGTTCGTACTAAGATAGAATTCCAGTGGATCTCGACCTGAAAATGAAAGAGGCCTCAACACAAT